TGTGAAGGCGCAAGAAATAGAGATGAGAAATAGAGAAATAGAACTAGAACGTCAACGTAAGTTGAGAGAAGAAGAGTTAGAAAGGATGAGGAAAGCAAAAGAAGATGATGAGCAACGAAAAAAGCTGAAAGAGGAAGAGGAGAAAATGCAACAGATGAAAGAAGAAAAGATAAGAGCTGAACAAGAAGCAATTAAAATCAAACAGAGTGAACAGAGATTGAAAGATGAGCAAGAGCAATTAGCAAAACAACAAGCTAAAGGAATGAAGAAAGTACAACTTCCAGCTGGATGGGAGAAAAAATTGGATTCCAATACTGGTAGATATTACTATATAGATCACGGAACAGGTACTACGCATTGGAAGTTGCCTGATACTGTCACACAAAGTGGAAAGCCTAGAAACCGGGACTTATCATCATACAAAGTTCCTCTAGAGAGTGAACCAAAAAGTAATCTAAAAAGATCACACTCATCACCAAATGTTGCTCAGTTAGTGGACAGTGATTTAAGAAGACCAACGCCACAATTTGACAGATCTAGCAAGCCCCTCATAAGGTAAGTTTCAGTTCATTATGGTAGGGACTATGATAACAATGATAATGTTTGTTTATGAAGCCATTCACTGTAATTTACAATACATGTATGTGTACCCGTGTTTTGTTTTGTTTTTTTATTTTAATAACCCTAAACACTGTATGTATGTAGACATAACTATCTGTTTGAAAACCACCCATAATATGCAATGTTGTGCTGCTGCAGGCATTACAAGTGCCCCTCCTGAGATATTTACACATGATTATATTGCCTGTTTATCATATTGACTAAATATGTGACAAATACCATTAAATCTGTATTCACCATTCCTCATAGTTGTAGATTCTCTAATAGAAGCTGCACCTCTCTGTTGTATTATACCATTTTAATAGAAGCCACGGCTTCTAATACAGATTTTACAGTACTACCTATCTTCACCTTATAATTTAGCCATGTCAAGTTTGTTGAGTTATAATGTATGCATGAAATGAAACATTTTTTGAGCATTTTCTTATCACACATAAATTGTAAAGTGTAAAATTGATTGTTTTTCAGACCTTCGCGTCCCAATGTAGAAATACGTACTTCAGATGTATCAGCAGCCCAAGTGAGGAATCTCAATCCAGTATTTGGTAATCAGGTAGGTATATACAAGTAACATATTAGTCTCCATGGTAATATTATTTTGATACAGCACAGTGTGCTGGTTGGGGATATAGTGGTAACTGACATCCCTCTGTATGTCTTTACATTTGTACAGTCATCATATCAAGACCATAGGGACATTCACACAATGTTATTTTGAAGACATTTCACTAGATCTTATCAACATATTTAATGACCATATATGGTCATATAATCTCAATAAAAATGCATAACTATTAATCTGATGCTGTAGTGCAGATATAAATGTTCAAGCTTATAATAAAGATGCCTGGAAATCTGCCATCTCTGATGGCTTTCCTTTACTGTCATAGACAAGATTTCTAAAAGTCAACATTTGTTACATATTTCTTCTTTGTGTATTGCAGGGACGTGCACTTACCGGCCTCAAGAATCTGGGAAACACATGTTTTATGAATTCAATTATACAAAGTTTAGCAAATAGTACTCCATTAGCTACATACTTCATAGAAGGATCTTATAAATACCACATTAACAGGTGAGATGTGTTACCTAGTAGTAATCCTGTGAGTGTTTATGTCATAAATCCAATAAACTATCGAAGTAAGATGAAGTTAATAGAGTAAACATATTCATATACTATTTGTATTATTGCAATGATTTGTACATGCTTGTCTTCAAAGATTCTGAGTTGTGAATCATTTAACAAGTAAAATGCTGCCTGTGCAATATAAAATACAAGTTATAAATCATTGCAAAAGCTGTTTATTAAAGATGTATGTTATGGTTGCCAGGGTAACACACTTACAGATGGATAATTTCATTGATGCATGCTGTATGTATCTGAAAAAAGATTACCCCTCCCCAATCTCCAATAAGAGGATCCTCCTCCAAGGATCTCTGTGGACTCTTTTTCCTTCCCTTCACACACCTTTAGTTTTCAGTATCACATATGATTCCCAGTGCTTATTTTAAGGCAGGGTTACAAAATTGCTTGCTGAATAGGGAAAAAAGGGCATCAATAGGCATTGTGTTGAACTGTTCCATTGACTTTATCTTAGATGTACTTCAATGTGATAAACTATTCAAACCATCTTGAATAATATATTTTATTTCAACAGGGAAAATAAATTAGGTCGTGGTGGTAAAGTAGCAGAAGAGTTTGCAGTGGTTATCAATGCTATATGGTCTGGTCACTACCGATCTATATCACCGCGTGATTTCAAATTAACAGTCAGTAAGTTTGTACCTCAGTTTGCAGGATATGAACAACAAGATTCACAGGAATTTTTACTATTTTTATTAGATGGACTTCACGAAGATTTAAACCGGGTAAGCATCTTGTATTACTATTAATGTCTTTTATTAGTGCTCATTATTACCTCGATGGTATTAACCATTTTACCACTATTTCCCTCTTTTCATCAACAATTTTCATTATAGTTTCGTTTATAGTCTGCGCTTTTCATCAGAAGATTGCCTTAAATTTTTTCTGTTTTCTCTTGTTGAATATTTAAAAATATAACAAAAAAATGCAGAATAATTTAGGAGAGAAAGTCTAGTGGTGAAAAGGTTAAGTAAACATATATCAATGTGGAGCATTCCAGACTGGACTTGTACCACTGTTCAACAAGCGCCACTACCATATCTCATTTTTACATCTGACTACAATAAATTGTATCATTATTGCCATCAATGGCGAAAATGGTCACCATTTAAAAGCATGTCATCATCAACATAAATGTGTATGTTACAGTAGCACATTTCAATTTTCTGACAAATTTATGATTTTTAATTTCTTCCCTTTTGTGAAGTAGCTGAACTAGTTTGAAATTGGCAAAACCATGTTGTAGCATTAGCATATGTGATGTCAGAAATAAACACATTCTTAATAATCATTACCCGTACTATGTATTCCTGTAGAGAAGTACTAGTACAAACAGAAGTAGATGCCTTTGATATTGTTGTACTGACAAGAATTGAACCAATATTCCTCTTACTGTAAGATTATGGTTCAGACCAAAATGTCCTAATACCCCTGTAAAGCAAGTATTGTTAGAAGTTACCTCCACAGTAGCATTAGTTCCCTATTTTTTTACTTTCTTGCATTTATGAGTGTTTTTGTATCATATGAACACACAATCACTGTGACATTTCGTAATAACAACAGGTTCATGACTGGCTTTTTCTCTCAATAAATATGGAATGTTAGTGTTAACTATTACATATATCTATTGCTTCAGGTAAAGCATCGTAAGTACATTGAAGAAAAAGACAACACGCACCTTACAGATGATCAGGCAGCCCAGCTTGCATGGAATAATCACAAACGTTTAAACGAGTCAATCATGGTGGAGTTGTTCCAGGGACAGTTCAAATCCACTCTACAGTGCCTGTTCTGTCAGAAGAAATCAGTTACATATGATGCATTTATGTACCTATCTTTACCACTACTATCAAATAACAGATGTTCATTATATGTAAGTAGATTCCAGACTTCTATGTATAGCGGCTGTCTAGATTCAACATCACATCACTTCCACATCCATTATGGATTGCACTGTGTGAAGATTAAAACAGTATGTGTGTGTGATGGGGTGTTACCAATTCATTTATGCAGAACATGCAATGCTATGTAGAACCTACTTATATATTTGGATAAGCTAGCTTAGGCAAATATAAAATTGAGAAGATCCTCGGCCGGGTTGAGGTTTGTCACTGGTGGCTTGGCCTGAATTGGGATAGTTCACTGATGGCTAGGTCTGAATTAGGGTAGGTCACTGGTGGCTAGGCCTAAATCTGGGTATGTCACTGGTGGCTAGGCCTAAATTTGGGTATGTCACTGGTGGCTGGGTCTAAATTTGGGTATGTCACTGGTTGCTAGGCCTGGATTGGGATAGGTCACTGGTGGCTAGATCTAAATTTGGGTATGTCACTGGTAGCCAGGTTTAAATTAGGGTAGGTCACTGGTGGCTAGGCCTAAATCTGGGTATGTCACTGGTGGCTGGGTCTAAATCTGGGTATGTCACTGGTGGCTGGGTCTAAATTTGGGTATGTCACTGGTGGCCAGGTTTAAATTAGGGTAGGTCACTGGTGGCTAGGCCTAAATCTGGGTATGTCACTGGTGGCTGGGTCTAAATTTGGGTATGTCGCTGGTGGCCAGGTTTAAATTAGGGTAGGTCACTGGTGGCTAGGCATAAATTTGGGTATGTCACTGGTGGCTAGGTCTAAATTTGGGT